CCTGTTAGCACTGCTTACATAGTGTCCTATAAGTTTGGGAGTTCTGTGCTTTCACTTTTTTTAAATTCTAAGAATTTTTTAATTTCTTTCTTATTTTTTCCTTGATTCAGTGATGATTCTGTTGAACATTGCTCAATTTCTGTGAGTTTGTAGTCTTTCTGCAAATAGTGTTTTTGAATTCTAATTTGAAGCCATGGTGATCCGATAAGTTACACGGAGTTATTTCAATTTAGATGTATCTATTGAGGTTTATATGGTTACCAAGTATGTGATATATTTCAGAGAATGTTTCACAAGGTGCCGAGAAGAAAGTAAATTCTTTTGCGTTTGCTTGGAATGTTCTATAGATGTCTGCTAACTTCATTTGAGTCATGATATCTGCTAGTTCCCTTATTTCTCTGCTAAGCTTCTGTTTGTAAGACCTGTCCATTGATGAAAGTGGGTTGTTGAAGTCTCTCATTATTAATATGTGTGGCTTGATGTGTGATTTAAGCTTTAGCAATGTTTCTTTTACCATGTGTATACCCTTGTGTTTGCATCTTAAATGTTCAAAATTGAGACTTAATCATGGTGGGCTTTTCCTGCGATGAATATTAAAAGTCCTTCTTTAACACTTCAGATTAATTTTAGTTTGAAGTCTATTTTGTTAGATATTAGAATAGCTACACTTGCTTGTTTCTTATATTCATTTGGTTGGAAAATCTTTTCCCAGCCCTTTACTCTGAGGTAATGTCTGTCATTGAAGTTGAGGTGTATCTCTTGTAGGCAACAGAAGGAAGGGTCTTGTTTTCCTACCCATTCTGTTAGCTTGTGTAGTTTTAGAGACAAATTGAATTTATTGATATTGAAAGATGTTAATGACTCATGGTTGCTTATTCTTGTTACTTTTTATTTTGTTGGTGGCAGTGGTAGTGTTTGTGTATGTCCGTTCTTTGAGATTTACTGGTGTGAGGCTGTCTATTGCCTGTATTTTTGTGGAGCTAACTTCCTGGGGTTGAATTTTTCCTTCTAGTATTTTCTATAGGGCAGGATTTGTGGATAGGTATTGTTTAAATCTGGTTTTGTCCTTGAAAAGTGTGTTTTCTCTGTCTATTGTGATTGAAGCTTTGCTGGGTAGAGTAGTCTGGCATCTGTGGTCTTTTCATCTCTGCACAACATCTGTCCAGGACCTTCTGGCTTTCAGAGTTTCCATTGAGAAATTGGGTATAATTCTGATAGGTTTGTCTTTATATGTAATTTGATGTTTGCAACTCTTAATATTCTTTCTTTTCTGTAAGTTTAGTTGTTTGATTACTATTTGACAAGGTAACATTTTTTATTTGGCCCAGTCTTTTTGGTGTTCTATAAGCTTCTTCTACCTTCATAGACACAAACGTCTTATGCTAAGAAATTTTTCTTCTATGATTTTATTGAATATATTTTCTATGTCTTTGAGCTGAGCTTCTTTTCCTTCTTCTAGCCCTATTATTCTTAGGTTTGGTCTTTACATGGTGTCTCATATTTCCTGGATGTTTTGTATTAAGAATTTGTTGTATTTTACATTTTCTTTGACTGATGGATCTATTTCCTCTATCATATTTTCAATGCTTATGATTCTTCTTCCTTCTTTGCATTCTATTGGAGAGAATGACTGTCCAGAGAAGGACTGTCCAGTTGGGAGCTCAGAACTCACTTCTTCCTCCAAATATAGGCAGACCTGTGACTCTGATGGTCACTGATGAGTTAGGGCATGGTTGGAGAGGGCAGGGGAAAATTCTGCTGCCTTGTAACTTGGGCTATGGTAGGTGGGTGAGGCTTGGGTACCTCTGGGAGCTTGGGCCTAGAGAGTTGGCTATCCAGTCAAGAACACAGACACTTTCTTCAAAGCTCTATCTTATCTGGAAGTAATTACAATTTCCATTTGCCATATTATTTAGCTGGAAACACGTGTTTTTAGAGTTAGCACAGTTTTCATTCCAAACATTATATTTTGCATACCTGGAAGATCAATACGAGATTTTTTTTTTAACTTGTTTGTTTTGGTCATGTGTTATCTTATTTATTTCTACCAAATCTCTCTCCTTGGAGATCAGGAAACCCCATGGAAGAAGAAACTAGTATGGGAGGCTTTTTGCTTCCAGGATAAGTTTATCCCACCCTGTTGCATTTGGCTTCTCCTACTGATCTGATCTGTCAAATACTCACCCTGCAAGAAGTTACTGTTCCATTTTTCCTGTGTTCTGAACATTCTTTCTGACTTTTCTGCATGCTGCAGATAGGGACTTTCTGCCTGGCCATTATACCATGGTTAGGTTGCCTAGTAAGTTGCCTAATTACCAATTTACACAAGAAGAACTTCCTCATTTCCCTTACCCTAAATTTACCCTGCTTATTACCTTGAATAAATGAGAGTTGATCATAATCCTGTCTTGTCTCCATCTCTTGTGACTCTTGTCCCTTTCCATTCTCACTCCCCCTCTAGGGTCTCTGCTGACTACTGGCGGGTCAGGAGATTGGAATGGGAGATACTAAGGGAATGGGGACACCAGGAGAATAGCCCATCTAAAACAATTGAGCAAAGCTATTATGAATTCAGAGAAACAAAAACAGCAAGCATGGGGCCTTCATCAATCTGAACAATGCCCTCTGCGTGTATACTATAGTTTTCAGTTTAGATCTGGGGGATTCTTGAATGTGTAAACAAGTGGAGTTCTGACTGTTGTGCCTTTTCTTGGGCTTCTTTTATTTTTCTCTTGTCTTGTTCAACTTCAATATGATGGTTTTTGCTTGATCTTATCATATTTTATTTGGTTATGTTTGGTTGTTATCTCCTAGAAGTTATCTCCAGTTCTTTCTAATGAGAAACAAAAATAGAATAGGTCTGGATGGGAGAGCAGGTAAGGAATAACCGGGAAGAGTAGAGGGAAGAGAAACTATCCAGATAAAAAAGAAAATAAAAAATATTAAAATTAAATAAAAAGTTAAACTTTGAGCTTTCCCTGAATTTAGCATTTTTTACATGCTATTACATTAAACTCTGACTCATGCTCAAATTCACACAAAAATTTGTGCTCCTATTGCAGCAGTATATCATGCAGGCAACTCACTGCTGTAGATCATATGGTTTGTAGCTTGGAGATGTTGATGATTTGCTTCTCTGTAGTATGCAAAGTACCTTCTGGCACCACAACACTAGTCAATAGGGGCTGAAGCTACTATTTGGGCAGCAGCTCAATTTCCCTATGTTCAATGACAGAAGCAAGCGGTACCTTTAGAAATAAGACCATCCTGGCAGGTTATGGAAGGTAACTGGTATCTTCTCATCTCTCCTCCAGAGAGACCCAATTCTCCTCTCAAGCTTCAGGGATCTATGTGAACGAGGAGGCAGAAAGGTTGTAATAACCAGCGGTGGTGGATAGCTCCAAGGAAAGGGTGCCTTCTGGACACAAGAGGACTGATGCTTACAAGCTTACATAGACAGATTACATGCATGAGAAAAGTACTTGAACAAGTTTAAACTGGTCAAAATCCCAACACTGAGAAGGGGAAGTGGACATAAAGTCCAACACTGAATCAAGAAGCTCTTTTCTGAAGGAAAACAGAGAAAGAGTGGATATGGGGAAGAGGAGAGACAGGCGGACAGGCGGAGGGGACTAAGAGGTCTAGAGGGACCAGAAGCTGTCGTCAGAATACATTGATATCAAAAAATAAAATTAAAATGAAATTTTAAAAAAAGGTTCCATAACTTCGCTAAACAGCACTACCAATTGGAATCAAGTGTTCAAGTACATGAGCATATTTGCACACCACACACACACACACACACACACACACACACACACACACACAGACGTACTATAGCTCTCAGGTAATGCCAGATGATAGGATGACTTCTTTTGACATAGACTGTGTTTTACTTAATTTCTTATTCTCTGAGATACCCTGTTTGACAAAAAATTCAAATGGATATACAATTGTATATTTCCACACAGGCAATATCACTGCAGTGAATAGGTATGTAATACAGGGCAGCTAATTCACCATAGTGTTTCCCCAGAGAAAAAACTAGAGAAGCACAGATCTTTCCATTTTTAATCAGGTCCCTAGGATTTACACGGTCATAGAAACCTCTTGGGTCATAGTGACAGGTGGCTCTTTTGGCATCAGTAGATCTTATTTATCTCCCCAAGGTTAGAGAAGACCCTCTGGGCCAAGCCTCTGCATTAGTTATGATCTCTAGCTGATGATTTCTCAGAACATTGGAGAGCAAACAGTGTGTTATGAATCTCTCGGTCCAATATTCATTCCAAACTAGAAGATTAGCATTAAGATGATCTGCATCATATGCCACTAAATGGGCCAGATGACCAGAGCTATGAGAACACCCTATCACTGCTTCAAAAGGAAAGTTAAGAAGCTCCACTCCTGAAGTCTCTGCGCAAAAAGGTGATTTTCTTTTTGTTTTTTAGAAATTTCCTCTAAGGAAGTTAAGGAGTCTTTGATATGCCTCGTGCGTGTCCTCACCCAAACAACCATGGAGTGTGAGGAAGGAGCTAGACTACCAAAGTAGAAGGAAAACAGAGTGACTAGAGCAGACTGCTCCTTATCATCAAGAAATATATATTTAGTTCACAAATATAAATTTATTCACTATTAATCCTTAAGAATATTAATATATTTTATTATTTGGTAATGTGTTTATATGTGTGGGTACACACATTACATAGCTTGCATGGGAAGGTCAGAAAACAATTTGCTGGAATGGGCTCCCTCCTTCCCTATCCTGGGGATAAAACTAAGATTATCAGGATTGGAGGCAAGTGATTTGCTGTCTTCCTGACCCATTATTATGCATTCCCTTAGTATTATAAGGAAAACATATCAAAATGTAAATGGAAAAGGAAAGTGCCCAGAAGGGTGTATTTGAGAATAATTTTCTATTCTGGGTATTATTATAGTGGGTGTACTGGAAAAAGCTAGGGTATTATCTTAATGTTCCCATTTCTTACCTTTCCATAGGGATGACCTGACAAGGAATGGCCTCCAGCAATGATTCTACCACAGTGAAGGAGTTCATCCTGCTGGGCTTGACACAGCAGCCAGAGCTCCAGCTGCCTCTCTTCTTCCTCTTTTTGGGAATCTATGTGGTCTCCATGGTGGGGAACCTGGGCTTGATTGTTCTGATTGTTTTGAACCCTCACCTGCACACCCCCATGTACTACTTTCTCTTCAACCTTTCCTTCATTGATTTCTGCTACTCCTCTGTCATAACCCCCAAAATGCTGGTGAGTTTTGTGAAGCAGAACACCATCTCCCATGCTGAGTGCATGACTCAGCTCTTTTTCTTCGCCTTCTTTGTTATTGATGAATGCTGTATTTTGACAGCCATGGCCTATGACAGATATGTGGCCATCTGTAAGCCACTGCTTTATAAGGTTACCATGTCCCATCAGGTCTGCTTCACAATGACAATGAGCGTTTACACAATGGGGTTTGTTGGTGCCATGGCCCATACAGTGTGCATGCTGAGACTCTCCTTCTGTGATGGCAACATTATCAATCACTACATGTGTGATATTCCTCCTCTCCTGAAGCTCTCTTGCTCAAGTACCTACATCAACGAGCTTGTGGTTTTCATTGTTGTGGGTGTCAATGTAATAGGACCTAGTTTGATCATCTTCACTTCTTATACTTTGATCATTTCCAACATTTCCCACATCCGTTCCACAGAGAGCAGGTCCAAGGCTTTTAGTACCTGTAGTTCTCACATAATAGCTGTTTCTATTTTCTTTGGAGCCTCAGCATTCATGTATCTTAAGCCTTCTCCTGTTGGGTCTCTGGGTGAAGATAAAGTGTCCACTGTTTTCTATACCATTGTTGGTCCAATGCTGAACCCTTTCATCTACAGTTTGAGGAACAAGGATGTCCACGTTGCACTGACTAAGACTTTGAAGAAAAGCATGCTTATATAGATAGAACCTATCTTTTATAGATACAGTTGAAAGGAAATTCCAATTATTTAATAATATTGAAAATTAATTGTGTAAATCAGTTCACAGATCAAGATATGTGAAGCAGAGAGTGAGTCCTTTATTCTTTCTGAAATAGTAAAGTGAGTATTTCAGTGTTTGATTCTCTAGCTTCCTTTCAGTTTTTCTAATTTTTACTTTCTTTCTGTCTCGTTATATAACTTGGGATTTTCTCAAACTCATGATTCTTTCTTCTCAGCCTCCTGAGTGCTAGAATTAAAAGTGGACATATACAACTGTACGTGGTTTGTATAGATTTAAGTAGAAGTTCTGAGTTAAGAAATTGAGAAATGACAAGATTGTGCATTTTTTTCTAAACTGGAAACATCTAGGATTCTGTAGAGCTGTGATGGACATGCACTGATTCAGAGGTCTTAGGGTTAGTCCTTCTTAACTTAGAAATCCTCTGTTCAGTGTTCAACAAGCTTCTGTTGGGGGAGAAATTTCTTTCTTTCTCTAAGAGAAGGGGAACAGCGTGAATGTCCCAGTCAATCTGATTTTCTACCCACTTTCAGTTCAAGGGAATTTGGCAAAGTAAAGTCAAATTTCCTTATCCTAATTCCCAAGGACAGGATACTAAATAGCAATTCAGTATACAAAATTAAAGGAACCTAACTGGGTGTACATCTCTGATTTCAGGAACACGGTGGATATGCTGGTAGGCTGTGTGTTCACTGACAAAAATGTCTAGCTACTCATTCTAGCAATGCTCTGAAGAAAAGTTTGTTGCTTTTGAAAATTAATTTTATAATACTGATTAATTAGCAGGTGAATATTTCAATTGTATTATTTGTGTTTCATAGGTGTATATGGCAAAAATAATTCAGATTGTATTTGAGTCAGTCTTTCTGAAATCAATGGTGTAGGGAGCCCCTGTTATTTCTTCAGAATTCGTGGTCAGGATGGGCTGGAGTAGGGGATGGTTTGTGAGCTGGCAAGTCATTGAGCACAATGTGACAGCTATAGAGAGGATATTTCCAGCAAAAGTTGTAGTTGGCACAAAATCTGACAGGCAATGAAAACTTTGATGCATATAAAAGCAAAAAAAGACATGAATTCAGCTCCATAAAATGTGTAAAGACACAAATTTAGAGCTATGTACGATCTATAGAAAATAACTCAGAAGTAAGGCTGATGTGTTAAGAATCTGTAAGGGAAGGATGAGTGTTGCTCAAAGAAAATAACATTTCCTACACAGAGGGCTATTTTATTTTATATTACATTATTTTCACTGTTTTGAAGTCCTATCTATGTTAATTTTGTACACACTCCCCAGATCCATTAAGCATTTCATTGCTAATTTGTGGTGATGTTTGTTACACAATCTGCCTGTAAAATACAGAGTTGCTGTTTTCTGCATACAGGGCCAATTATTTCCCTAATATTCACCTGGTTGGCTTCAGAGCAGTCACAGTCCGCAGGATCTGAACTTCATGATCAGGTACCAAAGTGAAAGCACTTTTGATCTCATCTTTTCATTCATGTGGTAAGGATGTCCCAATGTGGAATGCTGACTGAAACTTACCAGCTTTGGGCTATAAGTTCTGTGATTTTTTTTTTTCTTCTGTGTCCTCTTAGACTTAGGTTCTTGACTAAAGGTGCAGTGTAGTCTAAATAAAATGTCACACATTTAAACAGCACTATCTTGTTTCAACTTGTATAAGTTTTATTGTATTCTTTCCCAAATGCAACTTCTTGCTGTGTAGTATCCCTGAGATGAACAAGCATCTCATACTCCATCATGAAACCCATTGTTTGTTTTCAATGGGAGTTCTGATACAGCTGTCGCTGCTCAAGCATTCTCATAGATATTGAACTTGCCATTGAAATTGAATCATAAAAATTGATGATAACACAAAGTATTAATAATTTCATTGCCATTGAAGATCCCTCGTGTATATATATATATATGTATGTATATATATATATATATTCTTTAATAGATATGAACTAGGTTTACAATTTAAATAACTTTTATGAAAGACATAATGTTAGCTGAACAAAAGCAACACCCATGGTCATGCCCAGCGGGGTGGGAATGGGGGAAAAACGATGAGGTTTCAAACCTATACAAAGAACTATAGACAATTGAGAAAATCTGGGAGAGAGAGAGAGAGGTGGTCTTCCCCAGGGAAGAAAATACCAATTTTTTTTGTCCAGTGCCAAATTGTGAACCCTGAAAACATAAACATAAATATCATTACACAGACAGAGAAGGTTATATTTAGGAGTATATATGCATATTCATATATATGCAAGCAATAACAAATAGTGAATAAAAAGGACAGGATTAGAAGGAGCTGGGGGAGGTTTGATTGGAAGGGTATGGAGGTAGAAAAGGGAAGATAAAAATGTTATAATTATATTATAAACTCAAAAAACAAATCAGGGACTGAAGCAATGATCCAACATTTAAGAGCACTTGCTGCTTTTACACAGTTCCTGATTTGTTTCACAGCACCCACAGGTCAGCTGACAACCATGTGTAAATCCAGTCACAGGGGATGCTATGCAATCTTCTGATCTTACTGTTTCCCACGCATGTGTGTGGCACACATACCTATATTGAGGCAAAATACTCATACACATAAAATATCAAATAATTAAACCAATCAATTATAAAATATTAATGACATCCAAACTAGAAGGACATAGATAACATAGCAGTGGTTGTAAATTTTCAAGAAATTGAGGAAAATTGTTTTGTTGGTAGGAAAAATATTTATTTATCTAGATATTTGTTGTAGAATAGAAACAAAGTGGTTTAGAGCACTTGGAAAGCAAGATACACACAAGTGAAGTTCTGTCCTGTTTTGATCCTGAGATATCTGTAACATGGCTATTGGCAGTTGATGGCTGCTGATGGAGAGACGGTCACTCTCTTTTGGGGGCTTGGTCACTAGCATGCCGCTTGTGTTCTACTTACAGTTAGTACTAATTAGACATTGGGTGATTAATAACAATAAAAAGGAAGACACGAAGTTGGGGGAGTATTGAGCAGGGTCGTTAGGAGAATGTAGAGAAGAGTAATAATGGATGAATATGATTAATACACATATTATGACTGTATATATGAAACTTTCAAAGAAAAAATAGTATTTTTAAAATAAAATAATGACTTCTACATTCAAATTCATGTATGTAGTAGCTTTGTTTAATTATTAGTTATATCAGAGTATTTCCAAGTTAATAATAATTTTGACTCAATTTATTAAATTAAATATAAGTGAACACAATTTCAGTATATAGTTGGCAACTTTATTTTCTTTTAATGATACAAAATAAGATATTACCTCACACATAAATGACATTGGTGTTTCAAGAAAATTAAGTATCATTTTGTTTTGCTTTATTAAGGATGGTTAGTATTAATAAATCTCAGTTCAACTACTTTTGTAGTAAACTAACATCAACAAAGAGATACAGGGTTATTAATGTGAGGATTATTTTAAAATGAGGTTTATAGTATTAGTTCTAATCTAATTTATTTTGGTATCTTTATAATTGGAGGAATTATGAATTCAGTATATTCATGTACAGAGTTAAGGTCCTGGTGGGGGCACAGTTGAAAGGTAGTTACTACTAAAACAAATAGAGAAGCCTCAATAATGAAACCCTGTGTACAAACTGACCCTGCAAAGAAAACAATTCCAATGTTTCCAGCAGCCAACCTGCTATATTAGACCTGGTGTTTTCAGTAGCAGTATTGAATTACACACACACACACACACACACACACACACACACACACACACATTTTTGCAAACATAAACTGAGAAAAACAAGACAACCAAAACAGAAGCAAAAATTCAAAATGTGGAGGAATTGGATATTAAGTAGATAACTTTTATTCCTTTTCAAAACTGGTACTTCGTATTTTTACAGAGTGACAATTTGATATATATGTTCATTCTAAAAGGTAATTTGAGGCACACCGAATATGAGATCATAAAGTTTATTTGAACCAAAATGAGTTAGCCAACCAGGGAGAAATGGAAAATTCTAGTTCCTCAGTAAACATGTTCTTGAAATGTTATCTGAGAAGATGTGTTCATACCTAGCAAACTAATTGTTAGAATTTTCAATAAGAAAACACTGTGTTTCAACTATGAATTTTGATAAGCAGGAAAGTGATCTCACCCAGAATATTTATTGTCCTTGTTACATCTTGGCATACACAGAAAATTGGTAGGCTAAATGAGAGTGATGTAGGTGATCAGGATCTCATGCTTGGTGTGTTCATTGTAACATTTTAAGACATTCCTTTCCTCTTTCCCACTTTCAATTTTAAAAATTATCCTGGAGGAATTGGTTATATAATTGAAAGTTCAGGTAGATGAGATGAGATAAGTCTATAAATAAAAGATCAGGGTCAGATCTTAAACAATTTTTTGTGTGACCCCTTATCCATTTTTATATCCAAATTATTTTGCATTTCAGAAACACTTAGGTAGACAGATTTATATAACTAAGTACCTGGAACCAGTGAGACCTCAAATTGCTATCTATAAGATTCATTTTCCAAAAATCTATAATATTCTTAGACTATAATTTATTTAAATTGCAGTATAATCCTATGCCTATATTACTTATTATTTGAACAGAAAAATATTCTTTATGAAACAAAACTTCTCCTTTGAAACTTTCTGTAAAAAACACAATCTTTTACAGTAATTTTCTATGTAAAACACATCTATTGGGCTGGAAGGTTGGCTCAGTCTCTTTAAGGGAACCTAACACTCTTTTCATGCAATTCAAAACTGGCAAGCCAGGCAGTGTTGGGCATGATTTTGTTTCACTGAGAACTTTTAATGTCTTCCTTCCAAGTAATTTTTTATTAAAATAAAGGTTTGTGCATCGGTATAGGCTGCATTTTGGTCATTCTGTATGTGTATATAATGTGCAATAATCCAATGAAAATTTCTATATTTTCAAACATTGAT